CACTCAAATCAATATCAAATGGAGTCTTCATCATCTCATCTCTCATAACTTGACCATGTTGACTCTCACATTATAAACCTGATAATCATTTGCAGTATAATCATAATGACAATTATTGTTCAGTTACTGTTTCCAGATACTTATTTCTTTTCTTGATCAATGATTGTACAAATAGTTGAGTTCATTTCTTTCTCTCAGCAGCATAATGACTAATGAGTTCTTCTAGTACTGCTTCTGATAGTTCACCTTCTCCTCCTCCTCCTCCTCTTTCTTTATAGTATTGTACTAATGCACAGTCTCTGTCTGATTTATACTGCTTGTCCTTCCTCTCAATGTACATGTACTCTCTTGCTACCTACTCATGTAGTATAAGGTAAAGTCTATACATTTATACATGTACATTATTTAACAGTGTTATAACAGTGATTATAAGGTACTATGGATAAGTGTCATACAGACACAGCTGGGCCCAACCAAAGCCAGGCTATCACAGCAAGCTTATGAGTCCTCCCTTTATTTAAACAGGCCATACTAAATAATATTATCAGTATCAAGCCTGCTATACAGTTCATCCAACACTACAGAGCTGGAGCTGTGCTTGTTCACACACCCACAGCTCCCCAACTGCAGTCATTATAAGCCATATACATATACCACATTACATATCAAAGCAGAGCTCATTCAAGCCCTTCCCCCTCTATAGTGTTTTGACATACCAGTACACTACACATGCAGCTATAGGATTCAATTAATTACTAACGAGAGCACTAAAGTGCATACCCTCGCCACAGTCTGTGTGTAACAATTTTAATAAATTAAGAGAAAAATAATTAGTGAAAGTTTTGACACAGAAAAGAAGCTTCAGCATGTAAAAACTTAGTGAATGTTTTGAGACAGTGAATTTTTTGTTTTTTAGACAAAGAAGCTCCAGCATGCTTGCTGCACTGCTGCAGCAATGTAAAGGTGTGGCTGCAATGAAGGTGTGGCTCAATCAAGCCATGCTCCACCCGCACACACAGTAATGGTGGCACATGGCTCTAAGTGGTGAAGAAAGCTTTAGTTTTTCTCGACTTTTAAACAGTTTAACATACATTTGTTAGGCTCTATTTGTTG